TAAACAAAAAAAGAAATAACCAGTTTATGTGAGAAAATTATACGACATTGCACTTTTGAACTAAATAAAACTCCTAGAAACAAACCCTACCCATAATATCCAAAATTAAAAACTTAGTGGATATGATTGATTAGACAAGAAGAAGACAGAATTAGTTAACTAAAAGCAAGATCACAAAGTTATCAAAAATGTATCATAGCCAGACATGGTGGTATATGACTATAATCCCAGTGACTCAGGAGGTTAGCACAAGGAGATCGATCACAAGTTCCAGGCCAGCCTCTGAAACTTAGTGAGACCTTGTCTCAAAATAAAAAGGATTGGGGATGTAGCTCAGTGGTACAGTACCTCTGGGTTCAATCCTTAGTATTGTGTGTGGTGGGGGGGTCAGACAAAATGATAGAAAAAATGGAGTGAGAGCCGTAGAGGATTGGTGTGAGGTCTTATGTTAGAATTAAGAAGAATATGAATAAGAGAATGAAAAAAAAATTTATTGAACAGAGAAAGGCTGAAAAATTTCCCCCAAATAATAAAAATTAACAATACACAGGTTCAGGAGAACCAATAAATTCCTAATATGACAAAAAAAAAAAGTTTTTACAAATCACATCATTTATAGTGAGACTGCAGGAAAAAAAAAAAAAAAGCTAAAATAAACTTTTTAAAGCAACCACACACAAAAATTACTTTTTTTGTGTTGCTCACAAGAATGTATCTAACAAACTGGGCATGGTGGTACATACCAGAAATGCTAGCAGCTTGGGAGACTGAGGCAGGAGGATCACAAGAAATCCTGGCTTAAAATAAAAAATAAAAAGGGCTGAGGATAGAGCTCAGTGGTAAAGTGCCCTGGAGATTCAATCTCCACCTGGAGATTTAAAAAAGCATCTCACAGCTCTTCTTCCATAAGGAGCATAACTTACTGAGCCCCTCAGCTGCTAGGCTCTGAAATCTACCACCATGTTTTCATGGAAGCCATGTGTTATTGCCAATCAACTGTGCCTCTGTATACAGCCCCATCTCCTTGATCTTGTAGCTTGCTTCTAAACCACAGACTATGATAAAGGTGAAGAGATTTGCTGACTTAAAATAAATCAAAAGGAGATTATCCTGGGAAGACCTGACCTAATCAGGAGAGCCTTGAAAAACTTTCTGCAATTGACCTTGAGGAAAGAAGTCACTATATCTTGAGGGTCCTAGGAAGACCCCAATGAAAAAGCCACATGACAATCAACTGTGAGCAGACTCTTGGAGCTGTGGACAGCCACCAGCTTACAACAATGGGATCTCAGTTCTAGAACTTCATGGAAATGAATTCTGCCCACAGCCATATAAGCTCAGAAGAGGACCCTAAAAAAAAAAAAGCCCAGTCAATAACACCTTGATGAGACCCTGCAAAGGACCTACCCTTGCTAAACCTAGGCACCTGATCCACAGAAACTGTGAGATGATAAATGTGGTTTTTTGTTTGTTTGTTTGTTTTGGTACTGGGCATTGAACTCAGGGCCACTCAACAACTGAGCCACATCCCCAGCCCTGTTTGGGATTTTATTTAGAGACAGGGTCTCGCTGAGTTGCTTAGTACATCTCTTTTGCTGAGGCTGGCTTTGAACTTGCGATTCTCCTGCCTCAGTCTCCCAAGCCGCTGGGATTACAGGCATGCACCACCACACCCGGCTATGTATGTTATTTTAAGCTATTAATTTTGTGGTCATTTGTTATGCAGCACTAGGAAATCAAAACACTATGCTCTTATGGACTGCTTCCAAGAAAGGACTGAGTGTAACATGAATATTAATACATATCCATTCTTTTGGGGCCAATTTTGGTTCAAGGCCCCCAATAGCCTAGCTGAACATTCCTTATACACATGGCAGTTCTTGCCTTTTGCATGAGAAGAGCTGGAAGATAGTCTGCAGGATCCCTCCAGCCTTACCCTTCCTATTCCTTGACTCAGGGATTTCCCTAATAACATTTTTTGCATATTTAATCCCATCTTGGCATCTGCTTCTTAGAGGATCCAGGCTAACATACTTTCAAGAATGGTAAGTAACCAGGCAGCACAGGCCTGTAATCCCAGTGACTCCAAAGGCTGAGTCACAAGGATCCCAAGTTCAAGGCCAGCCTCAGCAACTTAGTGAGGTCCTAAGCAACTAAGAGAAACCCTGTCTCAAAATTAAAAATAAAAAGGCTGGAGATGTAGCTCTGTGGCAAAGCATCCCTGGGTTCAATCCCCAATTAAAAAAAAAAGAAAAAAAAAAAGACCAGGCTAATGATTATCTTATTAGTCAAAATGGTGGCTACTTCTAAGGGGTATGAATATGAATTCTTATTCATGTTTAAAAACTTTCCAAAAGTTTTGACCTTTTTAACTTTTATTATAGTCACTGGAAACTTACAGCAAACATCATTCTTCAAAACGAAATGTCAGGAACAACAAGAATGCCCCATTGCTGCCACTAGGGAGGCTTTTTCTTCTTGGTAGACTCAAGGGATTCAGGCATAAATCACCCAGAGGACACTTATGTGACTTTGACTTTTTTTTTTTTCAAAGCAGTTTTACGGATTATAATAACATATATATATATATATTTATTTATTTATAGTTGTTGATGGACCTTTATTTTACTTATTTATGTGTGGCACTGAGAAAAGAACTCAGTGCCTCACACATGCTAGGCAAGCACTCAACCACTGAGCTACAACCCCAGCCCTGATTATAATTTAAAAACCACAAAATCTACTATTTTAACTAAACAATTTGGTGATTTTTCTTAAGTTTACAGAATTGTGCCACCATCATCACCATCCTATTTTAGAAATGCTGCATCACCAACCCCCCAGCTCCCTGGGGTCTATTTGCAATTACTTCCCACTCTCTCCTCAAAGCAACCACTGTTCTGCTTTCTGTCTTTATAGATGTGACTGTTCTGGACATTTCATGTGAATGAAATCATTTAATAATGTGGTCTTTGTGACTGACTTCGTTCACTCAGCATGTTTGAGGCTTATCCATGTTGTAGTACATATCAGCACTCCGTTTCTTTTTATTGCTAGGTAATTTTCCATTGTATGGATGGATGTACCACATTTTATGTATCCATTCACCAGTTGACAGTGTTTTCGTTATTTCCAGCTTTTGGCTATTATGAATAATGCTGCTAGGAACATATGCATATAACTCTTTGGATGTACATATGCTTTCATTTCTTGTGGGTAGATACCTAGGAACAGAATTGCTAAGTCCTGTAATAAAATTCATGTTTAGGATTGGAGATGGGAGCTCAGTGGTAGAGCTCTTGCCTAGCATGTGTGAGCCTTGTGTTCAATTCACCTGTACCACAAACAAAAAAACAAACACCCTGATATTTAACTTTTTTGTGGTTTTTGTTTTTTGTTTCATTTAAAATTTTATTTTATTTTTTATATGTTTCAACTTTTTTGAGGAAACTGTCAAACTGGCTGTATCATTTCACATTTTCACCAGTAATGTTATGAGTTCAAGCCTATATGACTTTTAAAAGAATAACATACACTTTGTTGATTACTGGGGATTAAACCTGGGGAATCCCAGCTTTTTTTCGTGTTTTATTTTGAGAGAGAACTTCACTAGGGTGCTAAGGCTGGCCTCAAATTTGTGATTCTGGGCCCAGAATGGTGGAGCTTGTCTGTAGTCCTACTGGCTCAGGAGCCTGAGGCAGTAGGATCGTGAATTCAAAGCCAGCCTCAGCAACTTACAGAAGTGCTAAGCAATTCAGTGATAACCGGTCTCTAAATAAAATACAAAATAGGCCTGGGGCACTGGGGTTGTAGCTTACTTGTAGAGTACTCGTCTCACATGTGGAAGGCACTGGGTTTGATCCTTAGCTACATAAAAATAAAATAGAGGTATAATGTCCATCTACAACTAAAAAGAAAATTTTAAAAAACAATAACAAATAAGGGCTAGGGGGCTGGGACTGTAGCTCAGTGATAGAGTGCCCACCTCGCACGTGTGAAGCACTGGGTTTGATCCTCAGCACCACATAAAAATAAATAAAGATAGTGTCCAACTATAACTAAAAAAAATTAAAAAAAAAAAAAAAGGGCTAGGAATGTGGCTCAGTGGTTAAGTGCCACTGAGTTCAATCCCGGGTACCAAAAAAAAAAAAAAAATTGTGATCCTTGGGGCTGGGGGTGTGGCATGTGTGAGGCCCTGGGTTCAATCCTCAGCACCACATAAAATAAAATACATAAATTAAATAAAGGTGTTGTGTCCATCTACAACTTAAAAGAAAATTGTGATCGTCCTTTCAGGTGAGCACCACCCTGTCTGGCTGTAAGAGCATTTTTATAGTAAGAATTCCATTTGTTTTCTAGTCCTGAGAACTGAACATGCTAGGCAAGCATTCTACCACTGACCTACATTCCTAGCCCTTATTTTGAGTCTGGGTCTATGTTGTCCAGGCTGGTATAGAACTTGCAATCCTCCTGCCTCAGCCTCCCAAAGTCACTGGAATTACAGGTGTGGGCCACTGCACCTGGCTTTATTTGTATTTTTATTTTAAGACATAGTCTAAGTTGCCCAGGATGGCCTTGAACTTATGATCCTTGTACCTCAACCTCCCAAGTATCTGGGATTACAGGTATGCACCACCATGCCTAGCTAAAGATGTTTATCCTTATTTTTTCTATGTTATAAGGGCTCACAATTTAATATTAACTAAAGAGAAAGACAGGGTGAGAGAGAAAACACAAATAATTTCAACTCTGTAAAGAAAAAAAACTGCCCCAGGAAAAAAGGCTGGAAGGAAATAAACTAAAATGTACATTATTGTTGCCTTAAGGGAATAAGTTTATAAGTTAACTTTTTTATTCATATTATTTAGTTCTGACTGAATTTGCATATATTAATATATTTATTTTCAAAATAAGTAGAAAACTAAAGATGGAGGAGGGAGAGAGTGGGAGGGAAAGGTTGGCCAGGAAAGGAAAGGAGCCCTTTGACTTGATCATCTCACCTCAAAAAGGAGACTGAATGCATCCTCCTCCTGACTTGTGAGGTGGACTGACAAGCCCTTAATGAAGACCCCCTGAGGATTTTCCACAATGGTCATTGGTGTGACTGAAGGTCCAACATAGGGCAGAGTAGACAGGAGATCAAACAGGCTCTCATTATAGATTTCCAAGTAGGAAACACGCACAGTGATGGCATGTGTGGGGCGCTCTTCGATCATCCTAAAAACCTAGATGGGAGATTGGACAGCAGTCACCAAGGGCAGAACTCCAAGAACCAGGGTCGCTCTTACCTCAGGAGAGAAGATCAAAAAGTATAAGACAATTCTTGTCCTCAAGGAATTCATCATAATCTAACTGGCATGATGTTCATCATCAATAATTATTATGATTAGTCCAATGGGTGATATTAATTATCATCTTATAGTTGTTTGAAGCATGACTTCCTGATTGGCTAACCCTCATCTAGTCCCAAGAAGTAGAGGCATGATGAGTGAAAAAGATTCTGAATTGAAGATCTCTTACATATGGTATTCTCTATATCTACACACCTCTTTTCTATCTATTATTTAATTTCATCCTCACAAATCCCCTATGGGAGGCAGGCAAGAGCAATTCCCATTTATGGAAAGTTCCATGCATTAAAATTTTCCATAGTCACTCTGATAATAAGGATAGAGGCAAAGCCAGAATTCAGCTTCCTTAATTCCTAATATCCTCCCCAGCATGACTTTGGACTAGTCTTTTCCCCCTCTTAAGTTTCTTTTCTTTCTTTCTTTTTTTTGGTTGGGGATTAAACCCAGGGCCTTGTACATGCTAGGCAAGCACTCCATTACTGAGCTACACCCTCAGTCACAGTACCTTAATTTTTTTCCTTATTAAATAGAGAATTGGGCTGATAATCCTCAAGTCTCACTTTTTCTAAGAGGTTAGACTTGAGATGTTCAAAATGATAGATAGTAACCACAGATGGCTGTTGTACACTTGAAATGTTGCTAATGCAAATGAATTTAATTTAAAATTTTATGTAAATTAAATTTTAAAACTTATTTCATTTATCAGTAAACTTTTAAGTATGTTTGTAACAACTTTAGTATGTAAATCTACTTCTTCTCTTTTTTCTTCTTTTTTTTTTTTTTTTTGGATTAAACCCAGGGGTGTTTAACCACTGAGCCCTTTTTATTTCTTTTTATTTTTTATTTTGAGACAAGATCTCTAAGATAAAAAAAAAATCTCACTAAATTGCTGGGGCTGGCCTTGTACTTGCTTCCTGCCCCACTGAGATTATAGACAATGCCACCACACCCAGCTAAATCTACTTTTTCAACTCGAAATTTTACAAAATGTGAATACAGGTATTTCTGACTAATACTTAGTGCCTAAATTGAAAGGTACTCCCCAAGTATAAAATATACATCAACTTTCAAAGACTTATTAATAGAAAAATAATGTGAACTATTTCAATAACTTTTATACTAATTACATTTGGAAATTATATTTTGAATATACCAAGTTAAGTTATATTGCTAAAATTAAGCCAAGAATGGTGACACCTGCATGTAATCCCAAGCGATTTGGGAGGCTGAGACAAGAAGATTGCAGGTTTAAGGCCAGCCTTTGGAATTTAACAAGATCTTGTCTCAAAATAAAAAACAAAAAGGGGTGGGGATGTAGCTCAGTAGTAAAGACCCCCTGGGTTCCATCCCCAGTACAATATAAAAAATTATATTGTTAAAATTATTTTCACACAAGGTGTAGTTGGCACACATATTGGTACTCCCAGCTACTCAGGAGGCTGATGCAGGAGGATCACAAAGTCAAGGCCAACCTGGGCAACTTAGGGAGACCCCTCTCTGAAAATAAAATTAAAAAGGGCTGGGTGTCACATTCCATGACTAAAACTTAAGGTCCCTCCAGGTGAACCTGGCTGGCACGAAATAATCACACAGAGACAGAGAAATACTTTTCCTTTGGGTGTTACGACGGCTCCTCTGACCTTAGGGGTCCGTGGAAAGACAGAGAGGAGCATGTGCTGAACCCTTTTATTGGGGAGAAGCCATTCAATTGAGGCAAGGGGTCAGGTTTCAGGGGGTTGAGTCTAGTTTCGTGATGTCAGCTGTCAGCAGACTGACTGACATCTAGGAAGGCCATGACCATCTCATGAGCTGTGTGGGGATCATAAGCAGAGCGAGGCCCGCCTAAACAGAGGGGCAACGTCGGTTCAGTCCACTTTGTGCACTCAGTGCTCATAGTTCACACACACACAGCCCATGGCTGGCTTGCCACATCTCCATGTTCTCATGGCTCAAGGCTAAGGGGTGCTTGATTCCTATGTGGCAACTCCCAACTGCTGGGGATATAGTTCAGCAGTACAGTGCTTTCCTACATGTGTGAGGCCCTGGGTTCAAACACCAATATCCCCCAAATAAGTAAAATTTCACCTATTTATTTTTTAAATGTAGCTACTAGAAAACTCAAAATTGCATATGTGACTTACATGATATTCCTATTAGGTGGCACTGGACTATACAACTGAAGACTGAGATGCTGAGATACCGAAGCTTTAGATGGTTTATATACTAGGATATCTATACTTCTCATAGGACAAGACTGTCAAACCACAAGATGCTTTAGTGGGAAGGTTTTTTGCTTCCTCCTCCAAACATAGTCTTCACAGAACCCAGGCTAGCAGGCCCCAAAGGAAGGCCTTTATGCCCTGTCTTCAGTCATACTTCACTAAGCCATAGTTGACACAGTTTTGAAAGCTCAGGTCATGGCTCGCTTCTTGTCTTTGCTTTTTAAAGGCAATGTTGGGTAAAGAAGCCAAAGCCGGCCAGTAAAGTAGCTCTGAAAGAGCCCACATTATACTAGTTAAAACAAGGAAGGACTTTCAAATCCTTAATTACAGAATCACAAACTATTGGAACATGCCTGCTCCCTCTTTTACAAATGAGGAAACAGTGTGGGTGTTTGAACCTCTAGTCTCCTGAGGCCTCTACCCCCTCCCCCCGCCATGTGAATTTATTCTGTCTATAGTACTGGTACCAGTACTGGCTGCAACTCCTCTGAGGGCCAGATCCCATTATTTCTATTAGCTGATCTGAAATTGTCAGCATCTATGGCAGAGAGGGGACCTATGTGACATCCCACCCATGGGCCCATTCTCTACCTGCTGCAGAGCACGAGGGAGGATCCCCCGGTGCTTGTAATTCTCAGTGGCCCCCGTCATGGTGTATGTCTTGCCAGCTCCCGTCTGCCCATAACACATAATGGTACCTGCAAATATTTCAGAACACATCTCAGTGACATCCAGGAAAATAATTCTAAGGACAGTTCTCCCATTCCCCAGCATATCCAGTGCCAAGCAGAACCCTTGTATGAAGGTAGCCAGTGGGAATTGGCCAAAGACATTAGGAATTCCACCATGGAGGAGGATGGGCAAGCAAAGGAGTAGTAAAACTGATGACACATAAACAGTCAAAACATGGGTATCTGCTCTGAATTTGTAGTCCACCCAGTGCTCTAATGTTGTCTGCACCAAGAGATGTTCTGGGCCTAGAGAGGGAGAGAGGGAGCTTCTAGTCCTAGAGCTTCTGAGAACAGGGAGTTTCAGGGAAGTGAAGAGTGGGAACTTTTACTTAAAAGATGAGGAAGGGAACAGGAGCATTAGACTCTCATCCTTCTCTTGCAAGGTCATGAACTGCTTGGGTCTGGGTCTGGCAAGAGTCATCAACTTATCCATAAAAACAAAAAAGGCTTTTAAAATCTCCAGGAAGAGATAGAGTAGAAAGGGCATTTCCTGTCAACATTTGCAGATTCGCACAGGACAAAGAGAGCTCCTAGTTAGTCCAAGGTCACTTCCAAAAATGGACCATCATTACTGGTCCCTGATCTGGTTCCACTGAATACCCTGAAAGACTTTTCATTTGTGCTTTTCACATCCTTTAGGTCTAGCATCACCACCAGGCTCTGAGACATGAACTACGTAGTCACCCTGGGCTCCCATCTGCTCTTGCTTTTGGCTTGATCCCATCCCAAAGACTGCTTCTGGGTGTTTACACAGCAGACCTGACAGAGCAAGCACTCTACACCACTGATCCCATGTTTTAAGATTAATAAACTTAGACTGAATAAGTTTTTAAAACATTCTTAATAAAGCTGTTTTTACTTTGTTGAGAAAAATCAATCACTGATGAAGCTTTTAGGGATAATATGAATAATTCTATACTGGAATATGAACAGTACAGGGATTACAATAAGTTAGAATAAATGGAAATAGTTTCCAGCAGGTAGCTAAGAGAAAAATGTATAGACTTCATCAAATTGATCATAAAGACATATTGTCAAACTAACATTTTAACAGGACAATAGTTGAACCTCTACAACCTATAAAAAGCCAGGGTCTTCTAATCATCCTATCAAGGTAGGATCCTAGGGCAGTGGGTCAGGTATGCCCACAATGTCATCAAGCAAATAGGAAGTTTTCCACTATTAAGAACATGAAGACAGGGGCTGAGGATGTGGCTCAAGCGGTAGCGTGCTTGCCTGGCATGTGTGCGGCCTGGGTTCGATCCTCAGCACCACATACAAACAAAGATGTTGTGTCCGCCGCAAACTAAAAAATAAATATTAAAAAATTCTCTCTCTCTCTCTCAAAAAAAAAAAAGTAAAAAAAAAAAAAAAAAGAACATGGAGACAGGAAAATGAGCCTACAAATGTTAGTGAGTTTATGTTTTATTTTATTCACCATAAAATACTTGTATGTCTTCCTTCAGAAAGTGATCCTCAGGTTCTTAGATAAAACAACAATTAATTAATTTAATTACCATTATAGCCATCAAGGGCTTGAGAAACCACATCCTTTGCGACTGTCTCATACACCAAGTCCTGAGAGGCATCATGGAGAACCCCATCCAGCTTGAATGACCAGTCTGTTTGCTGGTTATTGACAACTCCTTTCCGGATATCTTTTTTTAAGTGAATATCAATGCTCTAGGAAAACAGAGAGAAAGGAAGGGGGCGAGGGGGAGATGGAGAGGGGGGAATGAGAGAGAAAGAAGGAAGGAAATTATATGTCAGGTACAAAAAAGCCACTGATACCAAAGGCCTGACCTGGAGAAAAACGAGGAAGCAATCTCATTTTGAGGTTGCTAATGAACTTTAGGATGAGCAGGGACTCCCATATAGATGAGATTCTGGATGAACAATTTGGTATAGAAGAAGGAAGCTCCTGCAGGGAGGTCATATCACCCTGTGGAGGAAGATCAGAAGACAAGCACTTCCTAGTTTCAGTGTCTCTCATCCTAGTTTACAGGGTGTGGCTATTTGGCTCCCCCATCTATGAAATGGAGTCAAACCAATTTATCATGTTCTTTGTAAACAAGACTTAGACATATCCTACAAGTATAGGAGGCCTTGAATTAGGTCAGAGGGAATAGTAAGCTTGGTGACAGAAGCCTGGGCTTGAGCCCTGTCACTGGTTAAAAGTGGTAAGGTCTCCCTCAGCTCTGCATTGTGGTAAGCACCTATTTCTACATATATACCATAGCCCAACGTGAGTAATGATGAGGTAGCCACAGAAAAGGCTCTGGGCCTCCCAGACACCGTCAGTCACTCACTGGTATTAGAGGAAACTGAAGGTGCCCAGCCTACTTGTAATCAAGATTTTTAGAAGTATGTATCTTCATTGCAGCCAAAGTGGCAGCAGCTGGCTTAGGAACATACTGGGTAAGGTCAATGCCTCTTAAGATTCCAAGCTTCTTGATGGGAATTCTGATGTAAAAATTATCTTGCTGAAATTATATACTGGCTGCTCTAATCCAAAAGCTAAGACCTGGCCACGCAGAGAAAAACCAAGACCAAGAAGACAGGTTTGGTTCATACATATATAAAATGCTCTGTGCTTCTATGTTCATTGAAAACACATACTGTAGGGCACATTAAAAAAATATTTATTTTTTTAGTTATAATTGGACACAATATCTTTATTTCATTTATTTATTTTTATGTGGTGCTAAGGATCGAACCCAGGGTCTCACACAGGCGAGGCAAGTGCTCTACCACTGAGCCACAACCTCAGCCCCTATAGGGCACGTTTTATAATGCCACATTTGAGCTCTTTTTTGAATGCTAGAACCTTAAAGTCTTGAGCAGAATGCCCTTGAATTCTTCTTTTAAAAAATGTCTCAATGCTGGCCAGATGGACCTGTACACGTTTTCACATCTAACACTCTCATGCTGTTCTAGGCCTGTCAAAGGCTTCAGAAAGATTCTTAGGACAGTGGTGAAGGTACAGGGTGAATAAATCTTCAGTACTCATGATAAGAGTCTCCCCTACTGCTTGGATAAATTTAACAATAATCAACTCAAATCAACACTCTTTTTTTTTTTTCTCTTTTTTTTTTTTTTTAGTATCAGCGATTGAACCCAGGGGTGCTTAACCACTGAGCCAAATTCTCCAGCCCTTAGTTGTTTTTTTTGTTTGTTAGGTTTTTTTTAATTTTTATTTTGAGACAGGGTCTTGCTAAGTTGCTAAGGCTAGCCTCAAACTTGTGACCTTCCTGCCTCAGCCTGCCTAGTAGCTGCAATTACAGATATGTACCCCCATGCCTGCTTCAACTCAATGCATTCTTACTATACCCCTGAGAAATTATATAATGGAAGATACGATCACCAGAAAATTTTATGGGTGTGGAAAAATGCAGGGTAAACTTCTTAACAGTAAAATTGTTAATAAAGGACAATTAAAGATGGGAACCTCATGAACTTTCTCATTTAATTTCGATGTTGAGGGCATGGTTTGGATTTGATGGATCAATTCTGTCCTGGTCCCTAAATAGTTGTTTGGAAATAGGATCCCACTGTAGTGAGGTAGAACAGAGATAGAAGGACCCAGGAAGGCAAAGACAAACACATTCTACTTACTTTATTGTCATCTCCATATCTGATCATTTCATGAGCAAAGTCATCAGTGGGTTTGACACGGACAAATGCATGAACCTTTTTTCTGGTACCCATCCTAGCTAAAGAGAAGAGGACAATGAAATTTTCAGTAGTCATCATCAAATAACAACTAGAGGAGTCATTCATTTAAGAAGATCCAAAGAGAGTGACCTGCAGCCCATTTTTCCCTATCCCCCTGAGAGCCAATCTTCCTTTTCACCTCTGCCTTTCAATGCCCTCTGGATAGTGCACCGCTCAACAGGTATATGTACTTCCTGCTTTGAAGGCTGCTTCATCATTTTCTACCACTGACCCAAAAGAGAAATACAAAGAAGAAAGAATATTCCCTTTAGTTGGCCTATTCTAAGCTGTTGTTTCTAGAAATATTCTGCGTAAGATGAGTCTCCTTATGCTTTGCCTCATCTATTATATGCTTGTTATGAAATTCACTAAAAGTAGTTTTTTCTTTTTGTAGTACTGGGAACTGAACCAGGAGTACTGGTTCAGTAATATGTCAATTGTTTCTATTTTTTAGTTTGAGAAGAACTTATTAAGTTGCCGGGGCTGGCATTGAACTTGCCATCCCAGGCTGGCACTGAACTTGCCATCCACCAGCCTCAGCCTCCAGAGTCACTGGAATTACAGATATGCATGACCACACCCTAGTTTTGTTTTTTTCATTAACATACCTTTCAGGCTGGGGATGTGGCTCAGTGGTAGAGTGTTTGCCTAGCATATGTGAGGCACTGGGTTTGATCCCCAGTATCACAAAAAAATAAATAAATAAAGGTATTATGTCCATCTATGACTAAATATTTTTTTTAAAAATATACCTTGGGCTGGGGTTGTGGCCTAGTGGTAAAGCACCACATATGAATAAATGAATAAAATAAAGGTCTATCAACAATTAAAAAAACATTTAAAAAATATACCTTGCTTAGGATGCAGCATCCCCTCTACATCTATCAGACTAGCTGGATCAGATTAAGCATACTTCTATGACTAAATGCCCTAGAAGTATACTTAAGCTATTCCATAATCAAACAGTCCATTGAGAGAAAAACCATAGTCCCCTACCTCCTTTTCCTCTCCTAAAACCTAACTACATTCTCATCAATTTCCTTCAGGTAGCCACACATATCTATCTTCCTTCATTTATATTATGACAATTATTATACATAGAATACAATATTAAACATTTGATGTGGCTGTATGGAATAAGATGGAAGCTTACAGATGAAAGTGATAGTCATTTAGGTAAATGTTCCATAATAGAAAAGACTTTCTTAAAGAGGTAAGGGCCACAAACACCATAAATAGTTAAGCAAACTCAAGGTGCCCAATTAAAATATATTCTTGTAAAACCTTTTAAATAACGAATTGCAAAATCCTTTAAATGATAACTAAGAAATCTCATATCTTTTTGGAGACTAGTATTATGAGTCAAATCACACTTGGCCCTCTCCTGGGAGTGCCTGCAAAAAAATATTTAATACTAATTAGACAGTAAGTTTAGGTTCTAACACTGACACTCAGTGGAGAAACAGAGGGTGATTAAATAGAGGTGATAATTATGCTGTTTTTCCTTTTTGTGTACTATAATTGAACCTAGGGCCTCATATATGCTAGGCAAGTGCTATATCACTAAGCTACATTCCCTGTATTTTATTTCCCTTTATCTTATTTTACTTTATTTAGACAGAGTCTTCCTAGGTTGCCCAGGCTGGCCTTGAACCTCAGTCTCCTGAGTAGCTGGAATTACAAGCATGCATGATCAGATCCAACCGATTGCACTGATTTTTATTACTTTAAGGATTTTAAAAATCTGACCAGCTTTTCAGGTGTCTCATTATATATAATGATGATAATATCTTTGTTTGTTTTGTTTTTGGTACCAGGGATTGAACCCAGAAACACTTAATTAACTACTGAGCCACATCCCCAGTCTTATATTTTGTGAGACAGGGTGTTGTTAAGTTTCTTAGGATCTTGTTAAATTGCTGAGGCAGTCTTGAACTTGCAATCCTCCTGTCTCAGCCTCCCCATCACAGAGATTACAGGCGTTCACCACCATGCCTGGTGATAAAGTCTTACACACTGAGAGAAAACGCCAAGAGCTCTAAGAAACTAAGTAAAATTCTATCTGTGAGAATCATCAGTTTTGTTAAATCTAGGTAATATCAAAAATAAGATAAAAATCTATGAGCTGGGTGTGGTGGTGCATCCGGGTAATCCCAGCAGGATGCAGGAGCATCACACGTTTGAGACTGGCCTCAGCAATTTAGCAAGACCCTCATCACCTTGTAAAACTGTAGTGGCATCCCCTTCTTCATAGAAAATCTTAAATTAAGCCTCTCCAGAAATCATTACCATAATTGACTTTAGGACTATCAGCAAAAAAATCTACAGAAGAGTTCAATGTAGTTAAGCTTCCTATTTCCTGCTGCTCTATCTTACTTGGCCAGAGGCCAGAAAAAGATCAGCAGTCCAAGTGCTGAACACCCCTTTACTAGTTTTTCACAATTAGGGACTATCTAGTATTTTGTAAGATATATAATAGATTGTAAAAGTTTTCAAGGGGGAAGTGTTTGCAAATGCAAAATGTGATAAGAAAGATTCTTTAACAAGGCCTCTGGTCTTGGGCTGCAGCTTCAGAGATGTTTACATTTCAAAGAGAAGAGAAGATGTTACTAATTGGGCTCCATGGTAACAGCTGGCAGGGGGAGGGAAGAAAGGGGAGAAGAAGCTCTACCCTTCTCAGGTGCTGACCTTGAAGGGTTAACGTGCCCAGAACAGAGAAAGAAAAGCTGCTTATGTGTGAACTTCTGCAGATTGTGAACTTCCCAACCCCTCCCCCTACACACTGGGTTTAAAGTTCTGAAACTGCTTGAACTCGGGGTTCAGGGGGATTGATTGGTTACAGTGAAAGCTTTTCCCTCTGAACCTGGCTGCAGCCAAATAAATCTGCTTCCTGCTAATTCTTTGGTGTTTGACCTCGTCTGTTCCTACAAAACCATGTCTGAAAATAAAAAAACAAAAAGGACTGGAGGTGTAGCTCAGTGGTATCGAGCTCCTGGGTCCAATCCTAATAATAATAATGTCTATGAGGATACACTGAATGAATAACATCATTGTTCAAAACTATTGGGAAAAAATACAAAATACAGTTTTAAATTCTTCTAAAATGGAAGATTTCTAGTTTTTTACATATAAATATATCTTATTTCCTTTTTTTTCCCCCTGGTAATGGGCATTGAGCTACTTCCTCCTCTTTTACTTTTTATTTTGAGATAGAGTCTCACTAAGTTACTCAGGCTAGCCTTGAATTTGCAATCTTCCTGCCTCAACCTCTGGAGTCTCTGGGATTACAGGTGTGCACCATTGTGCCCAGCTACATATAAATTTTCCTAAAATCAATCTAACCTTTTTTTATCTGCCCCCCCCACTCGTAACTTGATAATATCACTATGTAGTTTATAGTCATGTAGTCCTAAGATAGGGCTCTCAAATTTCAATACTTTCACTTTTACAGAACCATGAATATAAAGAAAAAATGTTAAAAGTCCATTTGGGGGCTGAGGATGTGGCTCAAGCAGTAACATGCTCACCTAGCATGCGCAGGGCGCTGGGTTCGATCCTCAGCACCACATAAAAATAAAATAAAGATGTTGTGTCCTACGAAAACTGAAAAATAAATATTAAAAAACTCTCTCTCTCAAAAAAAAAGTCCATTTGGAATTAATATTCTAATTTGAATGGACAAAAGGCCCAAAGGGCAGGATGTTTGTTGCATCACACACTTGTCTTTTGATCTCTCCATCAGGATTGGACCAATTCAATAAGGAATGTGACTTTTGCCCCTAAAATCCTGTACTTTCAAGGGGGAGGATAGAGTTGAAGGTAAAGAAAACTCCTGGAAACACTTTTAAATAGGACAATCATAGGCTGGGGGTGTAGCTCAGTAGAACACTTGTCTAGCATGTACAAGACCATGAGTTTGATCCTGAACCCTGCAGCAGGGGAAAAAAAGGAATTTGCTAAATTTATGAGAAGTTAGAGAAACATGAAGCATAGGAACCTGACTCAATTTCAACCTTCAATTTGGAAAATGGAAAAAAAAAAAAAAAAAAAATATATATATATATATATATATATATGGAGAAATAGCTTGTTTGAACCTGCAAAGTACTTCAACAAAATGATATGATATCCAGTATTTTTAAAAATTTTTCTTTTTGTTTTAAATGGACACAATACCTTTATTTTGTTTATTTTTATGTGGTACTGAGGATTGAACCCAGTGCCTCACATGTGAGAGGCAAGCACTCTACCACTTCACCACAACCCCAGCCCCTGATACCCTAATATTTAAGGCCTTTCAGTTTTTTTAAAAAAAAAACTCCCAGGCACAACAGGGATTTCTTTGTGTGTGTGTTTTTTAAGTTCTATTTAGTTTTTTTTTTTAAATATCTTTATTTATTTGTTTTTTATGTGATACTGAGGATCGAAACCCAGTGCTTCACATGCAAGGCATGCACTCTACCACTGAGCTACAGCCCCAGCCCAGGGATTTCTTTTTTACAATTATAATTAATTGTTTTTTTAAAAGCACATTAAAAAATAATAATATTTTACATAGGAGTTACCTAACAAAAAATTTTCTTTTAAAATATTAATGTCCTTCCACATTTCTGACACAACTTATGATGATCAGTTTTCTCTTAAAATTATATGAACTATCATCAAATGGCATTAAGTGTCCCTGCAGAAGCAAGTTAAATAGAGACAGGTGCTCCTCTTTCAGCTCACATTTTTGATGATGGGGGCAAAATAAAACCCTGACCTATTATGAGTCTTTCAGCTGTCAAATCAAGTAAGCAAACATAGTACTTACATATTTGCCTACTATAGAGTATGTATATACTTCCTACATTCCTCAATTCACTATTTTATGATCATCTTTTCCTAGCCACTATGGGGTCATTCAGACTTTTTGATTTTCAGAAAATTAATCTGAAAGATATTGAGGTGAGCAAAGAAAATGGCTTGTCCAAATTGTCATATCTGTCTTTAAAATTTAGCTCTAGAAATAAAAAAAGCCACCAATAACTCTAACACAAAGTCCTACCAGAAAACTGAAGAGAGTATCTCATTTTCTATTTCACTTCAATCTATGCTATGGGAAATTAGGAGTAAAGCAAAGTGTATTTTGACTAAAATATTCTATTTCTAAAGCTCTGGGAACAACTCCCCCACACTAGACCCAAGGGCCCATCCTCCTGCCCAGGGAAGTTCAGGTACCATTCAGGATGCTCTTTAAAAGGGACAGAAAAGAAGCAGGGGAGCTCTGGGACCTGCTGCCCAGGCCTCCCTCCCTGAAGCCCCTGCCACCAACAGCAAGGGGTAGCACAAGCCAGCACAAAGTAAACCCAGAACCTGCCTCTTTTCTGCCATGAAATTGCTAACATGCACATGCACATGCAACCAGCCTGTCCATGTTCCCAAGGTCTCCTGATGCTCATGTTATGGCTCCAAGCATGTCATGAGCCATACCTGCCTGCAATAAGCCTTCCCTATGATCTACACCTCTACTGTGTGCTTGCTATTCAGCAGCCCCTCAATACCCAAACATTGGGGGCCCCATGCCATTTGCACTTACTGAAATACTGCTTGTTACTATTCTTACGCCGCTTCATTTGTGTGGATTTCAGCTCCCAAATTACAAGCTGCTTGAGAGCAAGGAATGTGCCTTTTATCTCTTTTGAATCCCCCTACGATATCCAGAACAGTGCTCAGTGCATAGCAGGTGCTCAAGAAATGGTGGTTGGTGGTAATGGTCGTGGCTGGAAGTCAGAGGATAGGTGAATCTCCATGTGTGGGCCCATCTTCAGTCACTACGAAGAGAGTCTCAAGGCGCAGATGATGTGACTCCCCTTCCAAACCACATCCAGTACCCTGACCCCTCAGTTGTTCTTCAGGATACTTGCTTTCTAGGTTTATTTTAGAGGCCCTCAACATACTCCATTTTAGTAGTGTCCTTTTCCCTCAGAGCTTTGTGAGGAATACCCCTCTCTTTGGAGCACCATCCTTAACACCTGTGAAATAAAGTGAATCTGAGTGGCCAACAGCAGACCTCCAAATTGAGAGATTCACTGTTTCCTCATTTGTTTTAGGGGTGGCAATGAAAGGAATTGCCACCCACAGCTCCCGAAGGCTTGACAGGAGATGAGGGAGCATCTGGTGTGATGGCTGGTACCCAGGCAGTCCCTATTTTCTGGCGCTCTTGCACAAACCAGGGGCAGAGGCTACAACAGCATCTGAACCCCAAACATAGGGTTCAACCTGGCCTTGGGCTGGAGTCAAGACCAGCATGTAGGCAAAAGTAGCCTTTCTCTTTTTTCTCACCTAACTTGCGGGAGCCCCATGAGGAGTGTGGGTGGCAGTGGGCCTTGGGTCCATTCCTCTCTTTCTCTGGAGCGGTTTCCTCATCTGCAAAGCGCAGGACTCAGACTGATGTTCCCCAAGGTCACTCCAGTTTGAAAACTAACAGTGCAGAAGAGTCCAGAAGACCCCTGGCACCCCTGCCTCACGCCCTCTATGTCTGGAGCACGACGTGGGATCCTCACGGAACCAGGGAATATTAGCCCCGAAGGTCCTAAATCGCTGCCAGAATAAAAAGGACCCTCTGAAGCCGCGTGCCTTCCTCTGCCAGAGTTTCACAAACTAGCAAGCCAAGCCGGGAACTCCGGGATAGAGTGGTGCTGGGAATTCAGCCACTGCCAGCGGCCAGGACGCACAACCTCATCGGGCCTCCCTTCTCCCTAATCCCACTGTCGCGCGGCCCCTGCTCACCGCTCCCGAGGCAGCGGCACTCGCCCAGTGCGACCGCTGCCGACTGCAGAGACCCAAGCTCTGCACGCGATCTGGACACGCCAAGAGCTGCTGCCGGGCTGTGTATAAAGTCGCCATAGCAACGGGTCGCCTCGGGGATTCCGGAAGTATCGTGGGGTGGTGGCGGAAATGAAGTGCACAGCACTAGGTCGAGGATACAGGTAAGGTCAGGACAGAATCGGAAAACAGGAGATGTGGCCAGTGATTCTAGGAAGACTGCAGCAGCTGCATGCGCAAAGCCGTGTTCCAGGTAGAGAGGAAACGAAGGCTGTGTATGAACCAGGAAGCGGGGCTGCAGGTCTTCCGGCGCAGAAGAATTTGCGATTACGGCGGCCGCGCAGGCCCGTCCTATTCCGGCTCAGCGTTCCTAGCTGCGTTAGGTGCGCGCCTACGCCCCGCCCTGGTTAGTGTGGAGCCGGCCGGCCACGCCTGCGCAGTTGCGGCGGTGGGGGAAGATGGTGGAGGACGGTGCGGAGGAGCTTGAGGACTTGGTGCACTTCTCCTTGTCGGAGTTGCCTAGTCGCGGCTACGGCGTCATGGAGGAGATCCGGCGACAGGGCAAGCTGTGCGACGTGACGCTCAAGGTGCTGCGGGATGGGCGGCGGCTGGCTGACAGGAAAGGGGTCGAGCGGGAAGTAAAGAGCTGCGGGTGACGGGGAAGGGAGGTCGAGCGGGCAGAGGGGTGGAGAGAAGAGAGTGGAGGGAGATCCTGTCGTAGGGAGAGAGGTGCCAAATGGGAAGAGGGACAGCTTTCAGCTGTTGGAAGAAAAGGTTGAGAGGTGCGCCGCCGAGGCCCTCAGAGTGGGAGACACCAAAGTGCCCGCCTCCTTTTTCTGTCACACAGACCAGAGAAAATGTACTTACAGCTTCTCTTGGGAGGAAGGGGCGGTGTCTGGCTCCACATTTGGGTGGATACCACTGAAGCATCTTCTTGTGCACATAGAGATTTCTTTGTGCCGCTCGAAGTTGACTGTGCTTTCGTATAGAGGTGAAGGCTTCTCCTTAGGTGTCATTGCTTGTCCTTGATTGTTAGAATCTTTGAGGTGGACAGATGCTCTCTCACACTGGAAGACCCCCACCCCCACCACCATCACCAAAAGGTCTATTTTAACCACCCTCCCTACCAGCAGTCACAAAAACCAACCCCCCGCCCCCCGCATTGCATGAGTCTTTTCCTGCGGAGAGACATGCTGTGCTGCTTCTTGGACAAGCTGCTGAGACATGTGGAACCCTCCAGGTGGGGAGATGGTGCTGTCATTAGTGTTCCCTATTGGACTTTAGCTGGAAGGCTCTCAGCATCTGAGTGACCTTCCTGTTTTAAAAAAACAAAACTATGCAGAGATCTTTTTGCTTTTATTTTCTACATGGTTAAGGAAACCTTGCTTCTTCCTTAACCAGCTACCCTGCTAGAGAGGGTAAAGTAGGATAGTTAAGAGTTTAGATTGGTGACAGGAGGATTTGGATTAAAATCCCAGTTGTAACCTTGGACAAGTTATTTATTCTCTCTAAGCCTCAGTCTTCCAAATGTAAAAATAGGTAAGGTTCCTAAATTCTCCATGTTAGTGGGAGGATTAAATGAGAAATTTTGTGGTATTCTTTGCCTTATTCCTGGCCAAGTTCTCCAGTGGTGCTATCAGGTAGGGCCTGTAGGATAATGGACCTGCCTTTTCACTGTGTGAAAGGGGACTTGGGTCTCTCCTTTTCATCCCTTTAAACCCCTCCTGAAGGAAATGATTTTCCAGGAGAGGAATACAGTGGCCTGAGAAAGGGGCAGGATCTTCTCAGGTGAGAAAGAGGAGCCAAGAGGATTAAGAAAACTGAGCTGGACTAATGGAAGCAGAGGAAGTAAAAATAAATGAGAGATTTTTGTCCACAGAAATAAATGTGAGAGATGTGGAGATTTGTAAACAGAAGAATGATCTAGTTGTGGAAGTAACATTTGGTGTGAATAGAGACTGGTGAAAAGCAGTAATAAGGAGGGATTTTTGGATTTAGATTTAAGGTGTAATGGTGAATTAAGGGACGCTTTTGAAACACAGAGAAGCAAAAAGGGCATGACAGAGTGGAATGGTCACAGATATTTCTACATAAAATAGTAACTTTCATTTCTACATTTAATAAAAATATCAAATATAGTAGATTTATAGCAAAAAATGCCTGTATGACTTTTTTTTTCCAATTAAAATGCTTTCTGTTTATTGAAAGGGACAAGTAAATCATTCAGATGTAGTACCATCTGAGTGTCAGTATGAATTACTGTTTCAAGGGCATAAGGACCAGTGTATAGGCCTAGGCTAGAGCTGGTCAGAACTGTAAAGACCAATCTCTTCTATAAGGCCTGAGAAGTGGTTCAGTGACTGTAGGGCCAGGAAAAGGCCAAGCATACCAGGTTCTGCTGCATTTCACTGCCCTCTACAAAAACTGTGCTGTGAAACTTGTTTGTCACCACCCCCATACATACACACACAGGAAATATAGTCTTTCCTCAAATTTCTGGCAATTCCAGATTGTTTTTCAGATAAACAGGCACTGAAAAGTTTTTTGGTATGTGATGACTTGTTGACTAGTGGGCCTCCCTTAGGGCAATGGATCTCAAACTTTAGCAGGCACCAGAATTCCTTGTTGGCCTTGTAAAAACTCTGGGTTTTGGAGTTCACCCCTGAATTCTGATTCATAGGTCTGGCATTGGCCCAAGAATATACATTTCTGTCATGTTCTCCAGTGGTGCTATCAGGTAGGGCCTGTAGGATAATGGACCTGCCTTTTCACTGGAATGTGTTCAGACTCCTCAGTCTTCTAGGTGTCCTCCTAGATGATATAAATCTGGTTGTTATCATTCCAGGAGTCTTGTGTGAAAGGGGACTTGGGTCTCTCCTTTTTGTATGGCAGACTTTGAGTCAGTCCCCCTAAATGGTGCCATTTCCTTATTTTCAATGGTGCCCCAGTTACACAAGTCTGGAGTCGCTAGTTCATCCTGTTTAGAGAGTAAATCTCCAGTCTTCTGCTAGGGCAGTGACAGAGTGTTGCCTGGTGGAGGGGACCAGTACTGCCTGTTTTGGGCTCCTCCTTATGACACACCTTCAAAAGAAACTGGCAGCTCCAGTGGTTGAATTTGCAGTGGCTTTACATCTGCATTACTCAGAATTCTCCATCTAAGTCAGTTATTACTCATTTGTCTGCTTTTCATCTTCTAAATTTTTTTCTTTTTTTGGGGGGTGGGGATGGGGGTTGAACCCAGATGTACTCTACTGCTGAGCTACATTCCCAGCCCTTTTTATTTTTATTTTTAAAAATTTTTTGTAGTTGTAGAAGACAGCATGCCTTTATTTGTTTATTTATTTATTTTTTAATACAGTGCTAAGGATCGAACCCATTGCCTCACACGTGCTAGGCAAGTGCTCTGCCACTGAGCTACAGCCCCAGCCCTTTATTTTAAATTTTGAGACTGAGTCTCATTAAGTTGCCCAGGCTGACTTAGCCACCCAAGTTGCTAGAATAACAGATGCGTGCCACCACACTTGACCATTTTCTAAAATTTTGTAGATTTTTCTAATCTGTTTCTCTACTTCTTTTTCCTTGGGAGCTTCACTGTTTGTTTGTTTGTTTTGTTTGTTTGTTTATTTGTTTTGGTGGTGGGGTTTTTTTTTTTTTTTTTTGGTACCAGGAATTGAAGCCAGGGGCATTTAATCATTGAGCCACATCTGCAGCCCCTTTTATTATAGAGACAGGGTCTTGGTGAGTTGCTTAAGACCTTGCTAAGTTGCTGAGGCTGGCTTTGAACTCATTATCCTGCCTCAGCCTCCCAAGCAGCTGGGATTACAGGCATGCGCCACTGCACCCAGCTTGCTTAACTGTTTCTTGAACATTAGTATGAGAGGCAGGATGATGCAGACTTTGGAGCCAGACTACCTGGTTTTGAATGCTGGCTCTGCTACTTCTTAGCTGTGAAAACCTGAACCCAAGTTCTTTAAATGCTAATGATTCAGTTTCTTCATCCTTAAAATGGGGATCATCACCTACCTGAGTAGTGAGGATTCTATTAGTTAACATAATGAAACACTTCAAATAATCATGTAGTAAATACTTAGTAAGTAGTAGATTTTGTTGGGGGTACTAGGGATTGAACTACTTAGGGGCACTCAACCAATGAGCCACATCCTCAGCCCTATTTTTTTTTTTTTTTTTTTTGTATTTTATTCAGAGACAAGGTCTCACTGAGTTGTGTAGCACCTCACCATTGTTGAGGCTGGCTTTGAACTCATAATCCTCCTGTTTCAGCTTCCCGAGCCAATGGGTTTATAGGCATGTGCCACCATGACCAGGAATTGAGTCCAAGGGTGCTCTCATCCTCAGTCCGTTTTGGTGGGGGCAGAGAGACGGGGTCTCACTAAGTCACCCTGGCTGGTCTCAAACTTGATGTCCTCCTGCCTCAGCCTTCAGAGTTGCTGGAATTACAGGTATGCACCACCAGCCAGTCAATAATATTTTTTTCTTAAGAGACAGGGTCTCACTATGTTCTGCGGACTGGCCCCAAACTCCTGGCCTCAAGTGACCCTCCTGCCTTAGTTTTCCCAAGTAACTGGAACTACAGGTGTCCATCACCATTCCTGACTTTTTAATAATTTAATGAAGTTTCTAGAGGGAGTGGAGATAAATGTGTATGTTCAATCTGCCATTTTGAATTGATTTTTAGTGCCTGAAAAATTTTGGCTGATTTTATCTGAACAGAATGTTCATTGCCTTAAAAAAGTTGCAGACCACTTTATACTTTAGTAGCTTACATTTTAAATATCAGAGTCTAAGCCAGAAGGGGAAGGAACTTGTTCAAGGTCACAATTTGGATTACACAGAAATAGGGATAGACTCTAATCTCTGAGTGCAGAATGAACTGTTCTTTCATACTTTCTTGTTATCTCATCTGTGACAGTGACTGAACTGATTTCAGGGGCTACCATGTGAATTTGAATTAATCTCCCTCCATTCACTATACTCATGCTTAGCAACATATCATTTTTACTAGTTTTCCAAGATTTAGAGAGAGTGTGAAAGTGAACATTTGCAGACAAACCACATTCTCAAAATTCACTGCCAACATTTGAACCTAGACTTGATTTTTTAAAAATATTTGAAATTTAAATACCCAGCAAACTTATTGAATAGTTAAGCAGAGGCATGACAAAAAAGAGTAATACATTAGTTTTTTTTTTTTTAATCACATTCTGTATCTGTGGTAATCTGAGCCTGTTATCAGGAAAAAAAAATGGTCCTTTATCTTAAAGATTAGGAGGATAGTAGTGCAAGAATCCTTGGCAAACTTGCATCAGGATTGGTCTAGATAGAGAGGCTTGTGTC